TTGGTTATATCAAAGTTGTGGTTCCAAAAAAAAATCCCAGATTCACTGCCATTGAGTCAATTCCAATTCATAGCAACCCCCACAAGGTTTCTTTACAGAAGTAGATTGTCTCATCTTCCTCCCACAGTACAGCTGGTGGGTTGAACCTCCGACCTTCTGGTTAACAGTCAAATACCTTACCCACTATGCCATGAGAGAGGTTATGGTTAGCTAGTCCAAATTGGTACTATACAAATACACTTGCACTCTAGCACACACATAATAAATAAAAAGTTACTATTTATTGGTTATATTTTATTTCTGAAGCATCATGCTAGATGTTTTATATGTGTTCCATTTAATTCTCACAAGAATTCCTGTGAAGTAGGTCTTATTAACCCTGCTTTAGGGTTCATGAAACAGAGGCTTAGGAAGATGAAGTCACTTACTTGCCCAAGGTTATAAATCTCAGAAGAAACCCAGCCCATATTCAATCCCAGGTCTCCCTGAGTCAAAAGCCCACACCAGTTTCCTTTACATCAGCTGACTTCTCTGGACCAGGCTTGTCTGCTATTCAATCAGGAGCTTGTACCAGAAGATTTCCTGACTCCTGATTCTATTGGAAGTTTCCCTGAAAACTGGTCAATAGGCTTTGGAACTCAGAACTTATTTAGGAATATTAATTGACAAATGTTCTACTTAGAAAGGAATGTGGGTTGATTTCTATGAGTACAAATAATACAGTAATTTCAAATAGCTTTTGACAAAGAATTTCAATGGGATTTGTAATTTAGGGGAACTCTACAAGTTAATCTTTACAACATTTTGTGAGCGTACTCAAGTCAACTCAAAAATTCAATGTTTGTTCTGTGCTACTTGTGTACTTGACTCTGTTAGAAGATAAGTACTGCTGTCTGAGGCTTGGAGCTGGTGTTACTTTTCAAAGATAATCAGGGAAAGAAAGGAAACGGAAGTCAGTGTTTCTGAGCTGGTTTTCTTCTTCGGAAATGACAATAGTCAAATCAGGGACATCCAAAGATCCCACAGAGTTTTGCTCCATCCAAGTTATCAAATTAATGTTTAATTCCCAATTTGCAAAAGTTATATTATTTGTTGATACTAACTATAGAATACTGTCTTCAGTAGTCATTTAACAGTAGAAGTTTGGACTTGTCCTTGTACGTTGAAGCTAATTAGCTAACTTTAGCTTTCTTTCCATCTCAAATCAATATCCTTATCCATTCTCTTTAAAACAAATGTGCATGGCAGCAGGGCCATGTCCTCAAAGACTAACAGCAGCTCCAAACCAAAAAACCAAACTCATTGCCATTGAGTCAATCCCGACTCATAGTGACCTCTCTTTGGGTTTCCAAAGCGATATCACGATGGAAGTAGATTATCCCAGCTAGTCAAGTGGAGATCAACTCTACATATAATAGCTCAAATAAAATGCCGAGAGAAGTGCAATGTGAGGGCAATACTTTGTCCTTTCACAATTCAGTGGTGCTGTGCTTCCATAAAGATCACAGGCTAGGAAACCCATGGAGAAGTTCTACTCTGTCCTATAGGGTCACTATGAGTTGGAATCGACTCAACAGCACACAACTGCAATGACCAGTCTTGATTGGAGAACTCTGTAATAGTCATCTTTAACAACATTAATATCCCAAGGGTACAAATCGACTGTTCACTGAAGGGAGTTCCTAGCTGCCTATAGGGAGTTTGTGATTAAAGACAACAATACATGAATGAGGAGAGATGTGGAGGCCCAAGTTCAGAGAATAGAACAGGTCATCTTGTGAGCCTCCACTTAGGGAACATGAGTTTTACACACTGTCTCTATTTCAGAATATGACCCTGTTGGAATTGTCAGTCATGCCACCAAAAGATTTACACAACTTCACCATTATTTTGTTACATCTGGACATACCATAAATAAAATAAACCCAAAAAATTGTACCAGCAAATGTGGACTTCTGCAACAGAGGCTTCCTATATCATACTCTCCATTAGTCCTATTTCCTAGGCCTTCTTCCTCAATTGTTTCCATGACAAACTCCCATTCCTTCCTTTGTACTCCTCTAGTAGTTAAACCCCACACAATTTAGCACCCATCTATAACCAACCTTAATTGTTCAAGAGTTACCTGCTTATGAATCTTGGTACCCAAACCACAGTGAAGGGCTTTGTGGCTCACGGCCAGTCTTGGACATGTATTTGTCCATCCCGTCACAGTACAGTACAGGTATGCATTGTTTAACATCCACAATATGTTCTGTGAAATAGAATGCTATGTGATTTGGATGTTGTGAGATCACCTGTGTCCATGGGGCATGGAGCTTCCAAGTGCACTGGCCTAGGGGCTGCTGTGCAGTGCATGGCCTGGGCATATCCCACTATAGATGCCTTAGGTGAGCACTCAGTCAGTCTCACCTAGCTGTCCTCACCTTTTCTGCTAAGCCAGCTGCAGGTAAGGCCCGCTTGTTTGTAAGAACTTTCCTAAGAAGGACACAGTTCAGACTAAATAATCGAAGGGTGCGCAAGCCAGGGGTGGGCCACCCACGGGACATATTTTTCCATCAGCACTCTCTGGGACCACACTGGGGAAAATGCACAGACTACACCTGCTGAGTCATGGGAGCTAAGAGGGACCGGGGTTGGAATTTTAGACTGTGAGTCCATCACCTCAGACTAGGTGGGTTCCAGACAGCATGCAGCAGCCAGGCAAAAGTAGAGCTCTGACCTCAAGACAAGGGTCTGGCATCCTGGCATTCAGATACCTGGGTGCCCCAATCCATGGATGTATATGCAGTCAGACATTGCCCAAACAAACAGATGTTAAGCAACATACCTGTACTATCCCATCAATGACCCCTTATGGTTGATTCTGAGACAATAAAACCCATATTACTGAAATATCTGTGTTGTTGTTGTTGGTAGGTGCCATCAAGTTGGCTCCAGATCATAATGACCTTATGTATAACA